TTCCGTTACCAATTCCTCTCTGTTTTGTTTTCTTTCTCTATCATTTTGGCGGGAATTGGACCCCACAAAATTAAAATCTCGTCCTCTCTAAACTCTTAACATCTTTTCTCTCATAAATACAACTACCTCCTTTCTTTCTTACGCCTCAACCTGCAACTTCTTTCACTCACTGCACCAAACGCACCGTACCGCATTTCTTTCTCTACCAAAACGGTGCCGTATTGTTATCACGCGTTCTAAATGACCGTTACTCTCTTCATCTTTCTCCTCTTCTTCAAGTTCTTTCGCGGTGCGCTCTCTCTCTCCTCCGACGGCATCGCGCTTCTCACTCTAAAGTCCGCCGTCGACGCCTCCGGAGCAGCGGCGTTCGCCGGCTGGAGCGACGCCGACGCCACGCCGTGCCGGTGGTCCGGCATCACGTGCGCCAACATCTCCGGCGAGCCGCGAGTCGTGGGCGTCGCGCTCTCCGGGAAGGGCCTCCGCGGCTACCTCCCGTCGGAGCTCGGGACGCTGCTCTACCTCCGCCGCCTCAACCTCCACACCAACGCCCTCCGCGGCGCCATTCCGGCGCAGCTCTTCAACGCCACCGCGCTCCACAGCGTCTTCCTCCACGGCAACAACCTCTCCGGCGCGCTGCCTCCCTCCGTCTGCACCCTCCCCCGCCTCGAAAACCTCGACCTCTCCGACAACGCGCTCTCCGGCGGAATCCCCGACACGCTCCGGGAATGCTCCAACCTCCAGCGGTTAATCCTCGCGCGGAACAAATTCTCCGGCGAGATTCCGGCGATCCCGTGGTCCGAGCTGAAGAACCTAGTCCAGCTCGACCTATCGTCGAACCTTCTAGAAGGTTCGATCCCGGACCAGCTCGGTGAGCTTAAAACCCTAACCGGAACCCTAAACCTCTCGTTCAACCATTTATCTGGCAAGGTTCCTAAATCTCTCGGGAATTTGCCAGTTACCGTGAGTTTCGATCTTCGGAACAATGATCTCAGCGGTGAGATTCCCCAAACGGGGTCGTTTTCGAACCAGGGGCCCACCGCGTTCCTCAATAACCCAAACCTGTGCGGATTTCCTTTGCAGAGATCGTGCACAGGGTCGGCCCCGAGTGAACCGGGTTCTAGTCCTGGTTCTCATGGACCGGCGGGCCACCGGTCCGCGAAAGGGCTGAGCCCGGGTTTGATTATTTTAATCTCGGTGGCTGATGCTGCCGGGGTGGCTTTGATTGGGGTTGTTTTGGTGTATGTGTATTGGAAGAGGAAGGACAAGTCGAATGGGTGTAGTTGCACTTTGAAGAGGAGGTTTGGTGGGGAGAATGAGAAATCGAGTTTGTGTTGTTGGTGTAACGGGGTGAAGAGTGATGATTCTGAGGTGGAGGAGGGGGAGAAGGGAGGGGGAGAGGGTGAGAGAGGGGAAGGGGATTTGGTGGCCATTGATAAGGGTTTTAACTTTGAGCTTGATGAGTTGTTGAGGGCTTCTGCTTATGTGTTGGGGAAGAGTGGGTTGGGGATTGTGTATAAGGTGGTGCTGGGGAATGGGGTGCCTGTGGCTGTGAGGAGATTGGGGGAGGGTGGGGAACAGAGGTATAAGGAGTTTGCTGCTGAGGTTCAAGCCATTGGCAAAGTCAAGCACCCTAACATTGTGAGGTTGAGAGCCTATTATTGGGCTCCTGATGAGAAGCTTCTGATCAGTGATTTCATCTCCAATGGCAATTTGGCCACTGCCCTTAGAGGTCAGCGAGTTCTTTCACATTCTATTCATGTTTTCATTTTTCCTTTTCTTTTGGCTCATGATTTCATTTGTTGCATTCAGTGATTTAGGGGGTTTGGCTCACCATCCATAATAGAGTAGCATGCTTTTAAGTAAAGAGTATACACTGTGATGATTATTCCCACACACAGACCAAAAAGTGATGGCTACTAATGAGAGTTGCATAATAATAGTAACGAAAAGAAGAATAAAGATAGCTGATGATAACCGAGTGAAATTTAGATCTTAAGTAACTTTAGTGTGTATAAAACACTTTAGTAGAAGGTTGTTATACGACGGTCAATTTATTCTGTTTGATTTATCTCAAATTTTTTAACTGAGTGATTTTCTTATCAATAAATAATATTTATAAAACAGTAAAATAGTAGTAATTAATAAGGGCCTGAGCGTTTAACCATTCAGCATTATTCATTACTGACATTTCCCAACATTTTTTTGTACCTAAAATGGTACTAGTATTAATGTTTTGTATATCATTTTATGAGCAATACGTGATTTTTAGAAAATATTTAATGTGGCATTATCATTAATTGGTCTAATGATAATGTCTTAATATGTGTATATATATTTTAATCCCTATGCTTAGAATATTTCCTTTTTAAAATGATTTGGACTATGGTTGAGTTGTTATTCTAAAAGCTAATAAATAGTCCTGAGTTTATTATGATTTTTTTTCATTTATCGGTTTTAATGAGTTAAAAGAGCTATTTAAGTGCGCAAACTAGGTTCTGTCCGAATGTTATGTTCTGTGCCTTCAATGATTAGATTAATTATTGTTCATTTTAATTCAGCCAGAAGGGATTGTTATCGATATAAATTGTGTCTTTTAAAATAAGTGATAATAAAACATGCTAGATTTACTTGAAAGAAATTGGGTTTGGAGTTCTGTTTTTCTACGTTGTTTTCATTCTATGTGTATTTGTTTTTTTGCTAAAATTGTCGTTTCTGTTATAGATTTGTGGGACAATGGGACCAAAATGGTAGGTTAACTAGTACAAATGTGCAATATTAACTTTTAACTTGTCTTGGTAGAAATAAAGAAACAAAATCATATTTAATGTAATTTGAGGTGTGAGGGTAGCTCGGTGAGCACTTTAGTTAGATGTTTATTATTATAGACAAAGGGCGTTGGATCCAAGAAATTGTTTGGTGAGACAACAGTGCTAATGTTAATGACCTCCCTATGGGGACATCCCACGAGAAAGTAAAACATTCGCCATGTGTCTGGGAAATGTGAAGGTAGTGAGTGATACACATGTTGGGGACCATGAGCTTCTAGACCTTCAGCTCGTTTGCTGCACATGGGCCACTAAACAAACAAAAACTTTAGGTGGAAAAGTTGCCGTTTCACAGTTCCAAGTCATTTCCCAAGTGCTCTGTCCGTTTGACTTAATCTTATTTTTTGTTGTTTGGATCTCCTTTTCTATACGTATATTTCCCAGTTTATATCAGTTATTACACTACGTAAAAGTATCTCTTAAAGTAAGATTTGAAAAGATTATTGTGTTTGTAGGCAAAAAAGAGCTTTTAAGTTTGTGCCACTTTTGCGCCTTTCTTTCATTTAGCTGAGTGGAGAACTTTTCATTCCCTTGTTCCATTATTTTCCTTTTGGCTAAACCTTTTTAATTTTAAAGCAGTCTCTACTACCTTCACGATCGCTTGATTAAACTTTTCTGAACCGTTTTCATACTCTCTAATCTCCGTGCTTAGTGCACTTATGTTTGACAATTATAACGAAAATGCAAACACAAATTAATATTTTTTTTGCTTACAGAATAATGTGTAATATGTGTGGGATGTAGTAAACCAACTAATTATTCACAATTATTGTATTTGATATTACTTATTAAAAATATTTCAAATTTCTATTTTTGAATTTATGTCAAGAAGATGTATCATTTTATTATGAATTTTGTATAATACTATTTTGAGTGAACGGTTTAAATTTGTAATTTCAACAAAATACTACTATAACTTATAATTTGTGTTTACATTCTGTACTAGATTTATAATCTCCCCAATAAAATTAGTTAATACTTTATCCTAATTATTTACGCAGGGAGAAATGGTCAACCATCTCCGAATCTTTCATGGTCAACCAGGCTGAGGATAATCAAAGGAACAGGCAGGGGTTTGGCATATCTCCATGAATGCAGTCCAAGAAAATTTGTTCACGGTGACATCAAACCCTCGAACATCCTTCTTGACACGGATTTCCAACCCCACATTTCTGATTTTGGTCTAAACCGGCTAATCAGCATCACAGGCAACAACCCATCCTCTGGTGGCTTTATGGGAGGAGCTCTTCCTTACTTGAAGCCATCACAAACAGAGCGAACCAACAACTACAAGGCCCCTGAGGCTCGAGTCCCAGGTTGCAGACCGACCCAGAAATGGGATGTGTATTCATTTGGAGTTGTATTACTTGAATTGCTTACTGGGAAATCCCCGGATTCTTCTCCGGCCGCATCAACATCCATGGAAGTCCCTGACTTGGTGAGGTGGGTCAAGAAAGGGTTTGAACAAGAAAGTCCATTATCTGAAATGGTTGACCCATCGATGCTCCATGAAGTGCATGCCAAGAAAGAGGTGTTGGCTGTGTTTCACGTAGCACTACAATGCACTGAAGGAGACCCTGAGGTCAGACCTAGAATGAAAACCGTCTCTGAAAATCTTGAAAGAATTGGATCATAATATTCTAATGTTTACCAGCTGAAAGAACTGAAATTTCCTTGACACTCATGGAAGATGCATTGCAACCCCATAATGCATTTTTTGTGGTAGCACTCGGGAGATTTTCTTTTGGGGGCATATGATGGTGTTGCAAATACCTTTCTATCTCCAACTATGCCCTCCGGCCCTTCTGTGTTTTGAAGTTGTAGCAATTTTTTGACGGCTGTCACCATCACAGGTCTCATCTTCATTCTTTTTTCGGCAAATCAAGGCAGTTGATAAGATATATTTAAATTTTGTTTTGATCTCATTTCATCATGAGTCTGATTACAATAATTTCACTACATGCTTTATTACTTGGCTTGGCAAGTTCAGATGCAATCTTGTGTATAATAAAATTATTTCACTCCTCCGTTATGAATGACAACTCAGTTTCACATTCTTCTTCGGTGTAATCTTTTCCATAACAAAGATCGAAATTAATCTTCATTTCCTAGATCGAACTTGGTTACAATAGTTATATCTTTCCCATTTGATACTGTTTTAAGATTAAAAAATTACGTCAAAACTAACAAAATGGGCAAACGATATAAATACTACGTACTATTTGGTTGAACATCAACACTTGAAAATGTTCGTTCAGGATGTTAAAACCAGAAACTATCTATAGATACTTTTGCGTTAAAGGTAGAAAAACGTGATTTAAAAAAAAATTTGATAGAAATAAATAAAAAATAAAAAAGGCTATTACTCTTGAACGAAAATTAAGTTTGAACAAGTCAACAATTATCCAGTGACTATCTTGATATAGTTAATTAATATAGTGTCTATACAACGAAGCACAATATCCCTATGATTATAACAAATTAAAAAAATGGAAACTTTATTTTTTTTATTATCTATACTAGTATATAAAAGGAATATTTTTTTTACTAACTAACTTGGTCTTCACATTTTGTTGATTAGCTCTTTTGTTTTAAAAAATTAGAAAAATAATATTTTTTTTTATAAAAATCAAAATCTTTGAATTAATAGACTAATTTTTTATAAAAATCTTTGAATTAATCATAACACTAGATCAACATGCATTTATTACTTAATTTTTTATTTTTATTTTATCTATACTAATATATAGGAATATTCTTTTTAATAACTATCTTCTTCAAATTTTATTGATCATTATGCTCTTTTGTTTTAAAAAAATTAGAAAAATAATATTTTTTTTATCAAAATCAAAATCTTTAAATTAATAGACTAATCATAATATTATATCAACATACATTTATTATTTTATTTATATTTCTATTTTATCTTTAATAACATTAATAATTAGTAATCATTTTGGTTTCCATATTTTGTTGATCATTATGCTGTTTTATTTTAAAAAAAAATTAAAAAAAATATTTTTTACCAAAATTAAAACTTTTGAATTAATAAACTTTTTTATTTTTATTTTATTTTTAATAAAGATACAAAATGACTCGACCTCAAGTGATGCCACGTACCGTTTTAATTTTCTTTACGTGGACACACCGTTTTGATTTTCTTTACCTGGACTCTATGAATTTTAAAATCTCTGTTTGCTAATAGAGAAATATTTTTAGTTATAATTTATAATTCATTATATTACTTATAGAAATGGAATCTTGATTAAAAAAATATAATTGTTGGATTAACAATTTTCTGTCATTTGTTTTTAATTGTGCAAATTTAGTCTTAAGCTTTTTTATGTTGTTAATTATTTAACGATTTTTAGTCACGTGATTTTTTAGAAATGACATGATAAATTGGTGATGTTGGGATATATGTCATATCTGTTGCTAATGTGACTACATGACACTCATGTGGTTGCCCATCTGGTGTTGATGTGATAATGTAAAATTAATGCTTGAGTGACAAATGAAAATTTGATTAAAAAGTTAATGAAAATGTGTTGAAAGGGAGGGTTAAATCCATGGCTCTTTAGCTATGTAATAAGGAATTTAGTACAAGAAAAGTTTTTATTCTTTTAAAAAATTGCATTGATTTAGTTTGTTGTTTAAAAATAATATTAAAAAGATAAAATTTTAATATAATATAAATATTATATTATCTTTATTTATTTGTTTCATAAAATAAGAACATCATATTAGAAAAAGATACATTGGATCACAATTCCTAACTAATAAAAATAAATAGATTTATTTAATAGTGTCATTTTCGCGAATATATCATTGGTTCTCTTATTATATTTATAAATATTCTAGAAATACTTATGATTAATTAAATAAATTTTAATTATTTTTAAAAATTATAATTCTCAAGATTTATAATCTCAATAATTATCTAATTTTCAAAAATAAAAACTCTCGTTGTGCTTCAAACACCTCCCATAGTTAAACTTTTAAAGTTACCCAATTACATAATCATTTATGGATGGAGACGGAAAGTGCACATATTTTTACTGATATTATTCTTATTAAATAAAAAATAACATTATAAAAGCAAACAAATAATATTTTATATCTTAATTATAATTTAATCACTCTGTGCTATTTTTTTCTTTTATAAAATTGTATTGTTTATTTGGATACTTTCGTGAAATAAAATATTATTATTGACATTATATATTTTCTGTATTTCACTAAAAAATAATAATTATTGAAAATCGAATAACCGAAATAGTATAATTGCAATAATTAATTAATTAAAAGTAGAATTGAGCATGTAACTTTTTATTTAATACAAATTAAATTATTGGTATATTTTATTTTTATTTTGTTTAAAAATTATATAGAAACTAGAAAAATAAAAAAAATCAATTCCTATAAAATAATTTCAAACAATATTATCTTCAAACATGTAAGGTGTTGATTTTTTATTTTTTCTATGATTACCCAGTTAATTAATAAAAAAATATAGTTAATATAATCTTTAAGATAAATATTACAAAAATTACATTTTATTACTTTCATAATATTTATCTCGATTAATTAGCAATGTGGAACTATTTTTTGACAAATAAGCTGTTTAGTTTTAAAAAAATTATTTTCTTTTTTATTTGGTCAAGTATTTTCCTCACCTCTGATGAATTGGACGAAATTATGTTATCCTTCTGCCACTCCGAACTTTGAAGGTGGAAATCCATTGAATTATTAGGATTAGAAAACCTAAAAACACATCATATCCACTGAATTATTAACATTTAATTGTTATTCTTTCATTGATCTTGCATAAAGTGAAAAAACCTGTCTCATGCTTTAGATCAATACGATACTATAATAATTAAGTTTAAGAAAAATGAAAAGATTAGTGAATCGTAGGTGCACTATATTTCATAATGACAAATTAATTGACAAAATATTATGCAGTGGGTAGGGTTTTTGTAACGACCAGTCTAGCTGTTATACTGCAAAACAACATCATACATAGGGATGGCAACGGGCGGGTCGGGTACGGATTTTATGATACCCGTTGCCGTTCCTGTAATACAAATCCATCCTCGTACCCGTACCCGTACCCGTACCTGTTGAGTATGTGATTTTCATCCCCATTCTCGTCCCTGTCGGGTATCGGGTATACCCGTACCCGTACCCGTAAAAAATTATTTTTTTTTTACAAAAAAAATACATAATATTTTTAAATTATTTTTTAATATATTATAATTATAATTATAATTAGATTATTTCTTTATTTCATATTTTAATCAAGAGATTTCTTAATAATTACATAATTATAAATGTTTCACATTATAATAAATAATTACACATAATAAAATATTAAAAAAATTTAATATAATTAAATCGGGTACGGGTACGGGGCAGGTATACATACCCGCCCCGTACCCGTACCTAGTTTTATTTATCGGGTTTTACCCGTACTCGTACCCGGTCAAACCGGGTATTCCTCGTCAAAGTCGGGACAGGTTCGAGTATTACCCACGGGTACGGGTTTATTTGCCATCCCTAATCACACAGGAGTAGAATATACATACATAAAAGAATATATATACATATATCTAGCCTGAGACTCAACAAGTCAAAGTATATCTAATATTAATAAAATACTACACCAAGGTAACCTACTCAAAAGATCAACTCCAGTCACCACCTATGACACTACTGCTACTCTCCAGCCTATCCCTGCTCTGCTCCTATACATAGTATGATCATCGCAGTCCATATCACATGGAAATATGCAAGGGTAAGCTAGTGAAAATAATCAACATATAGATATAAACAACTTACAACTTCAACAACAGAAACAACATTTTCAGCCGTTCAATGTTCAACACATAACAACACCCAACTTAATCACACAGCTTCATAACATCAAAACAGATATGCAACTAAATCAACACAAAATCAACACATCAACAACTTATGCGTCATCACGCATTTTAACTCGGAGATCTCCTACAACATGGGTGAGCAGTCTAAGTGGCTAGGTTCTACCGAACTAACAACACAGAACCTTTTTGGACTTGTTAGGTAAACAGCAAATTTGGATACTAATCCACAACACGATAACGATTTCTCAGACTTTGCCACTTGTAGTAACCCAATTTCGTCCGGGAAATGTCAATTTTTGTTTAAAAAAATAAAAAAAAAAAAAAAGGTATATTCAAAAAAGAATAAAAAAGACAAAAATATAGAAGCCAAATGTAACACCTCATTTTTATATTTTTACGGAGGGTAATTTAGTAATTTTAATATGATTTTAGAAGCGCAGAACGGGCCGTTCCAAAACTAGAACGGGCCGTTCCAACCATCTGAAAAAGTCCTAAAATTTCTAGCCCGGAACGGGCCGTTCTGGATTCAGAACGGGTCGTTCCAACCTTTCAAAAAAAGCTAAATTTCTAGCTCGGAACGGGCCGTTCTGGATTCAGAACGGGCCGTTCCAACCTTCCAAAAAGATCTCAATTTTCAAGCCCGGAACGGGCCGTTCCAACCTTACAAAAAACCTTAAAAATTCTAGCCAGAACGGGCTGTTCCCACAACTGGAATGGGCCGTTCCCAAACTGGAACGGGCCGTTCTAATTTTCAAAAAAGACCTATAACTTTTAGGCCAGAATGGCCGTTCTCAAACTACTAAAATATCTAAAAATTCTAGTCCAGAACGGGCCGTTCTAATTTTCAAAAAAGACCTATAACTTTTAGGCCAGAATGGCCGTTCTCAAACTACTAAAATATCTAAAAATTCTAGTCCAGAACGGGCCGTTCCGAAATTGGAACAGCCCGTTCCGAAGTTGGCCGTTGTGAGTAAAATTGCAGCCCCGGAACGGGCCGTTCTGGATTCAGAACGGGCCGTTCCGGTCCCTCCAGAAAGTCTATAAATAGCGCCCCTTGCCTTCCCAAAGGCACCGACACACACACCCTTCCCACACACATCTCCACCTTGGACCAAAGGGAACACAGAGAAGGAGACCCACTTCTGTAGCGAAGAATTGTGAGTATATTAAACTCATTTCTTTTTATTTTTTTATTTTTATATTATTAATATCTGCTATTAGTCCTTATCTAAATTCAAAATTTGATTAAATATCATAATATAGTTTTACAATATTTAATGTAAATATATGAAATTATTCTAGTAAAAATTTTATTGGAGGAATGGTTAATTAGATGTGACATATTTTTAACCTTTGAATTTAAAGTACAAGTTGTGACAGCTTATCTTTAAATTTTTTCTTCAAAAGCAAAAATGTTCAATCAATAATTTTTTTAACATCATAACATGTCTAGTAATAATTATAATTAAAATTTTATAATTGACTTTGGTGTACACCTTAGTCAATTTTATATTTTTAGGGTGAATGAGCTGAGACAATTCAAGAATCCTATATTTAACAAAAAATAAAATTTAATTAAAAAATATCAACACACAAACATTTTCTACAAAGAACTACGTGACTCTGATTCTTCATTACACATGAAGATACGTAGGAGCAAGAACTAAATCTTGTCGAGCCAAAAAATAAAAAAATATATTATCCTCCTTTTTATATAACAATAATAATTTTAACCTTTTTTTCAATGCATAATTTAAATTAGTTAAATAAAATATATTTGATAATTTTTGTGAGATAAATATTTTATAAATTATAAATAATTAGTTTAATTAATTAAAGGTAATCGTCTCAGGACGAACGTTGTGAGGTGCTAATACCTTCCTCATATGTAATCGACTCCCGAACTCAAAAATTTGATTTTTGCAGACTATTTTCTATTTTATGGTTTTTCCAATGTTTTTCCATAAAAAATAACATTGGTGGCGACTCCTCTTTTTCAATTTATTTTTCGCCGTCCCGTCGCGACCGAGGTTGCTACACCACTTAAACAAGGAAGTATAGTACTATGTCATGATAGAACAGCTGGGTTTAGGCCTACCACGACATTAGCTAGCTCAACTAAGCCTACTATGGGATTAGCCTACCGACTATCCTCCAAATACTACAACCCTCCAATACTTGGTTAAGAACTAAGTTCCCAACTTCGTACTTTACTCAAGTTTGGCCGCTTGTAATCGGTATAGCTCGACCTGTCCCCTATACCGTGGTCGCTTCATACATGTGTGCCTCGACCTTACCCACACACGGAATCAACTAAGTCCTAGAGGAGAACAACACAATGTCCACTCCAAGGGACAACTTCCCAAGGAGGATTTTTCAACAAATTGGACTCTTAGAGCACCACAACTATCTCAATCCACACAATGGGATGAGCAACTTTGAAAACATCCCCTGTAGTCCTAATGATCAACAACTCATCATCACAGCTTAATCAGCTTACAACCCAACAACACAGTTCAGCTCAACAACTTAAACAACATACAACATACAACTTTCCAACTCATCATCTCAGTCAACTTCCAACTTAAACAACGTAGTCAACTCACAACATTAACAACACAATTCAATCGCACAACAACTTCTCAACAGTGTTTAACAACATGTTTTAGCAACAAAGAAACTTATCCAAATCATACATACAGTATTTCTACACAAATACACAATTATGATTCAACACACAACTACATCTTCTCATCATACCACAGTATTCAACATTTTATTAATCATAAGACCAAACACTTTCACGCCTAGTGCAAGTAAACTCGCGCCCAGCCTGAACCCAACCTGAGAGCTCTCAAGCTCTTTCACGCCTGGCGTAATACCACTATGCCCGGCGCACTTATAGGCAGAGACTCCTAGGAATCTCCCATGCCCGGCGCGCCCAACTCATGCTTGGCGTAAAATCAGGCAGAGACCTCACAAGGGTCTCGTGCCCAGCGCACTCCTCTACGCCCGGCGTCACCCCACATAGAGACCCCCAAGGAATCTCTATGCTCGGCGTGCTCAGAGCACACCCAGCGCCATATCAATAACCAAAATCATAAGGCAAACATCTGATATCGCGCCCTGACGTGGTTCTCCCCACGCCTGGCGTGATTCGTCTAGAGGCTTCCATTCCTAATCTCGCTCGGCGTGACCAACCTTGCTCTCGGCGTGATTGGATAATGGAGTTCACTAATGAACGCATGCCTGGCGCCAAGAGCTACGCTCGGCGTGAACTCAAACAGCAACCCTCACAACTTCAAAAATTTTAACCAAAACCTGAAAATCAGCCAACTCAAACACATACAATCCATGAAATGAAATACATTTACTTCATACGACTAAAAAACAAGCTTTATTTCAACATGCAACCATCAAACGCATCAAAATCACCATTTTTCCAAATTTTCCCGAAACCCCGAAAATGAGAAATTCTTCAAATCAATCAATGATTCTAAACATTTTTACTCCAAATGAGTTCTTAAACTCACAGACAACCAACGAGTTTACAATCTAGCTTCCCTCACCTTGTAAAAGAAGAATCCGAGCTTCGGGGAAGAGAAAGAAGAAGAGGAAGAAGATTCGTGCTTCCAACTAGCACCTCGCGCCTCTACTCAGCACCTTCAACAATAACAACACCACAAGGAGGCTCAGAATCTTCTGGAACAAAAGAATAGGAAATGAGAAAAAAAAAGAGTGTTGAGGGGAAGGAGGAAGAAGAAGAGCTTGTAGGTCTTACAACTTTCTCTTCCCATTCGTGTTACGTGCAAGCGACGAGTCTCTTGCTATGTTCGTTTATTGTTATTATTATCAAGTAATTTTATTATTCTATTTTACTCCTTTTTTTTTTTTTAACAAAATGAAGTGCTGCAGAAACACCTTTTCAATACCTTTTTTTAATTTTTTTTCTAAGCAAACAGTTTTTCAGTTAAAATTATTTTTCTTAAAATATTATGTGAGGATCAAATTACTTTGGTTGATTTAGAAACTCTAAAAAATCACGTAAAAAATGTTTAAAGAAAAAAACCCACTTAATATCCATTTCATTAAAGCAAAGATGTCCTTATTAAAGCAAATATCGGGATCCCATCAAGGTAAAGCAATATAACGATGAATAACTAATAAACTTGAACTTTACTATTTTTTTGGAGTAAAAGAAAAACTAATAATGCATATCTTAATTGTTTTTTATAAATCAAAACATTTCTTAACTAAAAGCTAAAGAATAATTTTTCAAGATGGGACATTCATTCAAGAGATTGATATAAGTGATTAGGGATTAAAGTCAATATTAATTGGTTGAGCATATATTTTTTTTTTAAAAAAGTGAGAAGAAGAAAAAACACAATTAAGTTCTAGGAAAAGGGATTTACATGATATCAACCAATATAAAAGAGTTAATGAAAGAAAAATAATTTTTTCAAATAACTAAATTAACAATTGTAAATGAGTCATGATGAATTTTAAAGAGTGTATATATGTTAACCTTTCAATATATGTGGTGAAATAAAATGTATCACTATCTAATTTAAAAAAATATAACGAGATTGATTATAATTGTCATTAGATGACTATTAACATCTTCTTGAAGAATTAAATTGATAGCTATAAGTGAATTTGATTCACAAATAACACTATATTAGCCCATATTTCAGGCTAACTCCAAATTCTCGTGAATGTCATAAAATTTTGCACTAATATTAAAGGTATAGTCTTTTTGGTTAAAAATAAGATATAATAAATTTGATTCTAATAGATTAAAAAGAAATACATATTTTACTTGAATAATGAGAGATTTTTAATACAATAATATTATTTATATAATTAATAAATTCTTGAAATTAATTTTATCGATACTAAGGAATATCGAGCAAGGTTGGTGTTAAGAAAATCCAAATTTTTAATTAATAATTAAGTAAAATTGATTCTACGTATGTGAATCATAAATTTTTAAAAATATATCTATATTTGCATTTTAGAAATCATTTTATTTTATTATTTATTATGTATGAAACTAATTCTTGTAACTTTGTAAAATATTATAACTAAATATAAATAACTTTTAAAAGCATTAAAACTTCTTTTAAAACTAATTTACTAAATATTAAAAGAAGAAAGAATCTAGTACGTCTTGTTAAGTTGTACTCCTACTATTGTACTTTTCTAAAAGAACACGTAACTAAATTTTTTTAAAGTGTACTATTTAGAAGGAGAATTTAAAAACAAAAAAGAAACTGGAAGACGAACTTTTTATTTTTAAATAAAAGTTATACGATATTTATTATTAAAAAAGGTAAAATATTTAGACGTTAAATTTATGATAATTTATTATTTTATTAAAATGTTATCAAATAAAAAAATTATTTAAAATGAAGGCCAAGCTGAATTTTAGCAAACGTGTCTTGAGCAAACCCAGTTGTGACCCCACCAACCTAGATATTTAATACTATTAAATTATTTCTGACCAAATAAATTGACATAACCGTTAACTGGAAAAAACAAAATAAAAAAAAATGTGAAGACATGGTTATGCTTCGTTTGGCATTTCTACTCTCATTCATTCATTTCTGATTCTAATGCTCCAAATTGAGAATGGCGTCGTCTCTCTCTGCCTCGTTTCTCTGCACTCACTCTTTGCAATCCCCAACGTTGAAACCTCCCTCCAAGCCTCATTGCTTCGCGCGTCTTCGTCTTCCTGTTCCCTCCAAAGCTTCTTCCCGAAACAACAATGTCAACACTGATTCCGCTGAATCTCCGTCCCTCCAACCCTCTTCACCTAAACCGCCTTCTGATTCCCCTTCTTCTCTGCTTCGTCGTTTTAGGTACTCTTTGGTTTCCATTTCCTTGCGGAATTTTTTTTTTGGTATGGTTTGTTTTGCGTTTAATTTTGTAGTTGATTTTAAGAATTTAATTTAAATGAACGGTCATTCAATAATAGATTATCATGTATGATAAAACTATAAAAGTAAGTACTTTAAAATCCATATTTATATAGACAATAACTCAATAAGTGAAAGTTAAACTTTTTTTTTAATCTATTCATACTTAATTGTAATTTTTGAATGGGAAAAATACATTTTCGTCCCTTATATTCTTTATTATATTTAATTTAGTCTCACTTCAATTAATTGAATCAATTTAATCTCACATCTTTAAAATAGATCACAATGTTTAATTTTTCGTTTCCTCTGTTTAAATACTTAATGGATTTGACACATGTAATGCCACGTGTCATGATATCCAACCATGTGACATGACAGTATGACACGTGGTATGGCATGTGTCATATTAACGGAAGAGACGGAATATCAAACATTGAGATACATTTTAAAGATGTGAGACTAAATTGATTCAATTAATTAAAGTAGGATTAAATTGAATCTAATAAATAATATAAGGGACCAAAAATATATTTTTGACTTTTGCAATCTATGTTTTAAGATTTTGCTTATTCAACTCTTCAAATTGCACATTTTTTTCACTAAATTTTTAAAATTTCACATATTTTATCATTTCATTAATTAATTATTTGATATCATTAATTAACTACTAATATATCACGTTGACAACTGTGTTATATTGACTCTGGACATGACACATTATACCATGTCATCATTTGAATGTGGCGTCGACTATCAACAAGAACAATCAAGATGTGACATTATGTGTTAACATGCCACATCAATAGAATGTGCAATTTTGTATCTCTAATGTTGTCAAACGGTCAACATACTAGATGATAAAATGTATAAAATTTTGAAAGTTGGATAGCAAATGTGCAATTTGGGAAGCTACGTGACAAAATTTGTAAAATTGGGAAATCTAGGTGACAAAAAATGCAATTAATTTGTAAATTGGAGTTTTAAAGTTTTATTCTTGGGTTTTGAGCAGCAATGAGTGCCTTAAATGTGATGAATTGGTTGTCTATGCTTCGTTTTGAATTTTGAGTTCAATTTTATACGTTAAATGGATTTTGTATTGAATTAAGGGTATATTTGTGTATTTACAAATTGCGGTTTCAGAGTTTGACTATGAATGAATTGGATGGATGAAACTTTTTATGTATTTTTCTTCTATGCTTTGCTTAAATTTAATTTTATGCATGAATTGGATTCTGAAATTGATTCTAGTGTTTATGGATATCTATTTACTTTGAAATTTGTTTATTGGACCATTAACAGAAATGGATGGCTTAAATTTGATGAACTTGGGATGGAAATAGTGCTCATTGCACTGCCTGCTGCTTTGGCCTTGGCCGCTGATCCTATTGCCTCATTGATTGACACAGCCTTCGTTGGCCATATAGGTACTTAGTTTTAATTTAACTTGGGGAAGTTAGCTGGCTGCAGCTGCAGTTTTTTATTCTGAATTTGGAAGATAAGGTTCTGTTTGGTTAGATAAAATGTTTTTCTGTTTTCATTTTCAATTTTTACCATTAATTACAAATATACAAAATGCTACATTGTTTTTGACATTTTTTTTCTTCCGGTTTTAAAATATTCTCATGAGAAATGATGGAAACAATTAAAATGTTCTTTTCGTCATTTCTTTGAAAAACAGGAAATGAAGTTATAACAGTTTGTCAATATGTCTTTTTGTAATTACTACACAATGTTTTCTCAAACCAAACATGCCTTCTAATTGTGGCAGCAAGCGTCGCCTTTTCTCTGGTTCTGTTTGTTTTGACTTGTATTGATAAATGGTTGTTGTTGAAGAGAAAATTCCCCCTTAATCAGATTTCTCTGTACAGGGGCAGTTGAATTGGCTGCTGTTGGGGTTTCAGCTTCTGTGTTTAATCTAGTGTCAAAAGCATTCAATGTTCCTTTACTTAATATTACTACATCCTTTGTTGCGGAGGAGCAGGCACTGATGAGGAAGGAGGAAGAGTTTAGTCCAAGTGATGAAAATGGTACGTTTTTTCAACAAATGTATCGCAGTTTTAGTAGGATGTCTACATTTCCTAGACACAGTCATAGATTTTCTTGTTCAGATGTATCTACTGAGAGTTTTGATCTCATATGGGTGTTATCATGATTTCTCAGGAAAGTACCAAAGCAAGAAGCTTCTTCCTTCAGTTTCAACTTCTTTAGCACTTGCTGCAACTCTTGGAATTGCTGAAACTGTGGCGCTTACCCTTGGATCTGGCATTCTTATGAATATCATGGGTATACCTGCTGTATGTCAAACATTGCTAATTATTGATCCATACGTCATCTCATATAAGTGATATTAGGTTTCTTTATGTTATAATTTCTTCTGAATCTGCACTTTACTGGGCTAGGCAACCCCACCCGCTTGAAAGGAAAAAAAGGACATTAGTTATGAACACTAGAAGCACATTTATTAATTCAGGTTCAGTTTAGATCTAACTGTCTTTTGACAACCTCCTTGTGTGGCAAGATAACTTTATAGTCAAAACTCTATCTTAGTTGAAAGCAACATTGCAGGTTCAGCTAATATTTTGAACTCAAATATGAGGTTTTCTCACAAACTTGTAATTATTTTCTGATAAGTTTGTTTTATGTTGTATAATTGCAAATGATGTTTTTTCTTACTCTGTTATTTTATGCTGTCTAGTGGTGTATAATTTTAATGAATCATCACAAATGTTGGAAAATTTTATGTGTTCGGGATGGCGTTTATGTGTTCTGTAACAATTTGAAAAATTTTAAGCACCAATTATATTCTGTATTTGTAGCCTAACAGTTAACTATACATGATTCGAGTTTTGAGAAACATATCAACTATAAATATCTATATAAATGTACAATTTTCCTTTGCTTTCATCAGCTATCAGTTTTATGGTATGCATAGCAAAAATATTCATATCTCCTGGTATTTTGTTCCTTTTTCGTTGGTTTGGGGATTTTGAGAAGTTAAAAAGAAAAGCATTTTTTGGCTTCTCTTCATGGGTACTTAGTTTTATATAATTGGATTTTACTCGTATAATTTTGTTTGCATCATTTGTTCCATTTTATATGCTGTTCAGGATTCTCCAATGCGTGGACCTGCTGAGCAATTTCTTACATTGAGGGCTTTTGGAGCTCCAGCAATTGTGCTCGCATTAGCTGCACAAGGCACTTTTCGTGGATTTTTGGATACAAAGACACCTCTGTACGCTGTTGGCAAGTATTTCAGCAGTTTACTCTCTCTCTCTCTCTCTACTCATATGTGTTACGTACAATAGAAATTAATGACGAAATACTTTTGCCAACGGTACTGTCAATAATTTTAATTGGTAACAATTCTGAAGTTTGTTTTTTATAATGACACAGAGCTTAGAAATAGTTCAATTTTGACAAGAAATTAACACTTAAATATTCCTTTCTGAATAAAGAAAAGACAATTTGCATAATTTGAAATTTGAAATTACAAACAAGTATCCATTCACAGAGATGATCAATGATCAATATGTAATGGGGATTTCGTGATTGTCTTAATCACTCAAACTATCATCTATATATGTCCTTTATCTGCAGTTTATATTTTATGGAAAGATTCAAAAGACAATTCGCTTTTTGACTATTGGATCATTTAAACAATCTTAATTCATGAAATGCTGGAAAGGTGTCATGTTATAATAGAAAATTGTGATGTGGCAAAGAAAATAGCAATAGCATTATAAAGAAGACCGAGCAGATCCTCTAGCAATTTCTGTGAGTGTTTGCTTTCTAATTTATATCTATGATTTCCACAATGTTTTTTATATAAATTCTCACTGCAATTTGGATGTATGGCCTGTCATGACTGTTAACTTTATGATTTTACATGTTTATTCTTGCAAAATGCTCCATGCAACCCTGCTAGGGTTGATGTGTACGTGTGGAAAAATAGGAGCTTGCTTGATGTCTAGGTTTGCTAGATGTGTAAATAATGAAGGCTTGTCTTGGAATGTCAGGTGCGGGAAACTTTCTTAATGCCGTATTGGATCCGATATTAATATTTTTTCTTGGCCTTGGTGTTAGTGGTGCTGCAGTTGCTACTGTGATCTCTGAGTACGTCAATGATGTGGTAAACTTGGTATTATTTGTGCATTCTGCACATGTCCCGTATTTCATGTGATCTGTTTTCAACAGAATTCATCTTTGTGTTCACCAGATATTTAATAGCTTTCATTCTGCTATGGAAATTGAGTGGCGAAGTTCTACTAGTCCCTTCCGAATTTGATGGGAGAAAAATTTTCAGCTATTTGAAATCTGGTACGCACAATTAAGTTGAATTGTTGCTTTGGCTGTCCTTGCTCTTCCAGAAAAATTGGTAGTGATAATTAGATGATCATAGTTGATTGGAAAGATGATTGCTAGTCTCTGCAGTATGCCATTGAAATTTTCCTAGACAAGCTTCATCTTTGCATGATTGAGGAAAGCAAATTTAGCTTCGTCTGCACATGATTGTGGATAGGAAAATTAACCGAGTATCACAACAAAACAATACCATGTACTTAGCTTCGTCTGTTGATTTTATGCTTGAAGTTGTTTAATTTTTATTATTGATCTTGCATTTAACTCTGTCTTTTGCTTGAAACTCTCAAGGAGACTTAACTTGTTGATTCAAATTGGATTTTACTGTGTCTTGAACCAGCTATCCCAAACGCTTAAGTTGTTGAGGATACATTTTATAACAAGTAAAAGAAAAAATGCAATAGCCCTTTGGACTTGATGTGGGGACAGGCCCACCTACCTTTTGATGAAATTCAACTTTTTATTAGAACAAGGGTGGCAAGGATTGAACATGATAGAGGCTCTAATACAATGTACTGAACCAACTATCCCAAATGCTTAAATGGTTAGGTGAAGATACATAAGTGGTTGTTTTACATTTGTAGCACTGTTTAAGGACAAGTCAGTTAGAATGAGACTTTTCGCAAACTATTAAGGATATATTTTGTCCAACCACAATATTTCTTCAAGATCAAATTGTAGTTCATGATATAAAATATATCAAAGTTGAATTTATTTTTTATGAAACCTACTTTCTACATGCAGTTGTGTTTCTTAGAAGATCAAAGATGATTGATTGAATTAAAATATGTTATAATTTTATTGAACAATGTCCATTTTCAAAGGATGCTAAGATTACATTGCTTCTTAAAGATGAAGTTGGTCGCATATGTGAATTTGCCTATTAAATATGATTTTTATTAGCTTGAAAATGTTTATTTTGGTTAACAACTTTTATGACTTGACAGAATACATTATGAGTTAAAGAGCAAAGCAGATTGATGTTTACTTTTAACTATTGCATTTTGTAGGTGGTCTTCTTACTGCTAGGACTTTGGCTGTGTTTATAACTATAACACTGTCAACATCTGTGGCAGCTAAGCAGGGTCCTGTAGCTATGGCAGGTCATCAAATTTGCATGCAAGTTTGGTTGTCTATTTCTTTGATCACTGATGCTCTAGCGCTTGCTGGTCAGGTTGGATAATTCTATTGCATTGGACTAAAGTTGCATTTTTTTATACAAACCAAGGTTATACCAATTGAAATGATCAATACATATCTCATGGGCACTTCAGCTCATCCAGTTTCCAAATCACATGCTCAGAAGTATAGTATTTTATAATATGAAATGCATTATTGCGAACATTTGGGGCTTTCCCAAACCACGAAATCAAGCAAAGTGGGGGTGGGGGTTTCCTTTTTACTTGATAAGCTTGATACTTTTCCATTTCCCAAGATACTGAAATAGTATTAGTAAGAATAAAAAATTCCAATGTTGTACCATATCCTCCTCCATCTTGGCCGGAAAAGAAAACAGTTGACAAGGGTTGAAAGAATCGAATTTATATCATGCAGTCTACAGATGATATGAATTCTATTATTAGTGAAATTCATATTATTTGAAGATATGACATACACTTAACTGCTTCAAATTAGGTCTGAAATTTATTTGGCTGAAACTTACTCTGTCATGTTAAAATGCCATTTCTTTTACAGGCACTTCTGGCCAGTTGTTACTCCCTGAGAGATTATGAGCGAGCACGCCTTATTATATATAGAGTGATACAGGTTACTGGTTGTTAACATAAATTGCTTTCTTCTTTCCTTTATACCTTTTAGTGAGAATGGAACTTATACTGACCCAGAATTATTTTCTCCTACTGTCCTTTACATGTTAAACAGATTGGTTTAGGATTAGGAATCACTTTGTCTTTTACCTTATTCTTTGGGTTTGGAGCATTTTCTGGTTTATTTAGCACAGATTCTGAAGTTCTGGACGTTGCTCAGTCAGGTATACTGGTAAGAAATCGCTATCTTTTTTGTTTTTTTTTGCAGAAAAGTGCCTTTATTATCATTTTGTAGGCTTTATGCCATTACCTAGTTTACTTGGATTGACTTCAAGAATCAGGCACCCAGCCTGTGCAGAAGTGGGTCTGAGTGGCTAAGTCATGAGTACCAACTCCAAATTGAAATCCTTATGGTTGAAAGCATTATAATGAATTTACTAGGATAAGGAGTTGGCTTCAAGAAAGTAGAAGAATGCATTTCCACTAGATGTCTGTTTATATTGAATTTTCTTTTATTGTTCTTCCTCAAATGTGGAAGAATAGGTTGAAAGCTAATGTTGTTGGCCAGTATCAGAATTTTTATGCTTGATGGGAGTTCATTATATGCAGTTGAATTCTCCATTCTTCTGTGGAATATCTGAAATTTACTTACGTGTGCAGTTTGTTGCTGGATCTCAACCAGTGAATGCTTTGGCATTTGTTATAGATGGGATTTATTATGGGGTATCAGACTTCGGATATGCTGCTTACTCAATGGTAATTACGAAGTTCAATGATCGAAATATAGTTAGACATTCCATATGATTTTTTCTTCTTAACTCTTTCCGTTGTGTCCTTTTTTGTTTTGGCTTTTGTTATGGGTAGGTGCTAGTTGGACTAGTCTCTTCAACGTTCCTTCTGGTGGCTGCTCCAGCAGGACTTCCTGGAGTCTGGACAGGATTGTTCATCTTCATGGCTTTGCGTGTTCTAGCTGGAGTTTGGAGGTGAAGTATTTAATTCATTTTGCAGGTTATATTTGGGAAACGTCATGTTGGTGTATTATCAACCGTTGTCCTATTCATATTTAAATCCTAGCCCAAAGAACAATGACAAAATGATACAGGACACATTGGATGAATGTGATTTGTCATGAAGTCGCTTTGTTATTTTTCATTTCTTTGTTCTCTCCTATCTTGGTTTTTTATTGCTGAGGGATAGCGTACTCTATGGATAACACGAGCAACACAAATTTTAAAGATTTTTATTGAGTTAATATTTTTATTTTCTTAAGGTTGAGCAGCAAAACTGGGCCTTGGGATACAATCTGGTATACAGATGAAGCAGAAGATTGACTAACATGCATTCAACGTCATGTATTGAGTACTCAGAAGTTCCAACTTTCACATATCAGGTTAAAAAGCCATTTTCACGATGATCAGGACATGATTCTCAAGCGCTCTAATATGTGGACACTGACTCCCTGCAATTCAAGAGAATCCACTATCATTGCAGGACTATAGTAAATTATTAATGTTGAAGCAATTGCTGCAAACCAATTACCAAAATCTTGCTGGTACAAGTAGAGTTTGAATAGTCAATAGAATGAGGGAGAAAATTATTGAATTACCACCCTACAGCTTAGAGGCAAGTCATTTTGGCTTTTTTTTTTTTTTTTTTTTCAAAATTTGTATTTATTAGGAAATTGTGCACAAGTTTGTATATTTTCATTGCTAAAGGTAGCTGCATTAGAGAATCAGGTACTCCGACTTACCAAGTTAGGAGTGTAGTATGTACACATCTTTTAATAGTCATTACATTAATAGTTATCATTAATCTTCAAGCAATTAACATTATTCACTCAGTAATTTTTAGTCTGGCATTTGCTGTTTTTACTTTTTCGACGAATGGTTTTGCTGTTTTGTTTGGTACATTGTGGAATGAAAAAGCTAAATAAAAACTAGCTATGTCACTACGTGATAGGAACGAAACTTGAGTCACATCCTAACGCTAACAAAACTCCATCAGGGGGATTAACGAAACTAAAATGGTTTTTGATAAGATTTTGAAACATGAATGGATTGTCTTGAAACAGCTATAGGAAAGAAAGAGAAACTTGACTCTAACCGCGATCTGCTGGTAGAATCAAAGTTATCAAAATGATGAAGCGTCATTCTGACCGTGACTTATCGGTAAAACTAACACTATCAAATTTTTATCCAAGAACAAAAGAAAAAATTCTCACATACATGTAGTAACTTTCCATTAAGCTCCACTAGGCATTAAAATCTCATAAACTCTCAATAATATTTATTTTTCATTTGGTAGCCTAAAAGACAAGAAAAGAACCATATGATTTATCTAATAAAATAAATAAAACAAAAATTACACAAAAATAAGAAAAAAGACTTGAATAACTTTTAAGCTCAAAAGCTAAGTAAATCATCCAAATAATGTCTAATCTACTGTAGTATCTTTAGTAACTGGTGTTAAACTGATTAGACTCTTCAATTTATTATTTTTAACTCTTTTTGTCTTTTTTCTTTTATTGGACATTCCTTCAATTGAAAATCGTATTTTAAAGTATTGGACTTTGATAGGTATTTGTTAGTTTTGTTGTTTATTTGTCTTTATTTATTAGTTATTTTTTATTAATCAACATTAGTGAGTTATTATCAAGTAAATAGTAATTATCACTTAAATTTTAAGTGGTCAATATAGTCATTAACGTTTCATTAAAGATAATTTTATCGTTTTTTTTTGGTATAGTTTTAATTAACGTATAAGTTCGACTGCATAAAAAAACTAAAACAAAAGAAACTGAGAACTAATCCCACCATTGTCTAAAGCAAAAAATAGTGCGTGATAAAAATGAAAATGTGCCGTTTTGTACCGAAAACTTTTAAAAAAATAAATATGCAGTTTAAGATATCAAATATTAATAATAACTTTATTTGCAAGTGGCAACAAAACTGTATGTGGGAATTCAGTTTTAGATTATATATACCATACGATAGCGATTGCATTTTTGCCAGTAATATGAATGGCGTAGTGAACATTTGGAGTGGTGTAATCATCATTATAGTACAACATTTATATTTTATAACAATATAAAATTCTTAGTACAAAGTCTCTATAGTGATTGAGATGTTGAAAAGAGAAGGGAAACATAGCCTTATTGAATCACCAAGGTGGGGAAAAAACATGGTGTAAGTAACCCCACCAAAGCCAAAAGCAAACACTGTAGGCCTTTAGAAATACTAAGATCCTATACGTGGAAAACACACATCAAGTAACTTCTTTTCTTCCAATAAGCCAAAATCATAATCAGGACGCAAGAAACTATAATCATAACCCACTTCCAACTCTGCAAACTGCATATTGTTCCGATGTTTGTGTAACTGTTGAGAAAGATCACATAACTTCCTACTATGCCCAGAACTGAATCCATGTAGTGAATTTCTGTTTGTATTATTGATGTTGTTCAAAGCCTCAACTTGGGACATACTTTCCATAGAAGGATGATTGGAATCCCCATCTATTTGTGCCTGATTCTTGTAATGAATACAATGTGCTCTCAGCTTACATTCCAAACCCTTAAGCTTAGTTTTCATCTCATCAAAATGTTCACTTCTATATTGCTCATTTGGTGTCATCTCCAAGCACTTGCTGTGACATAGTCCCAGGATTTCAGATATCACTTCCTCGGTGTTTTTCTTAGCAACACATGCTTCAGAATTTGGTCTTGGATTGCTATCTGGCACCATATCATGATTGCTGCAGCTCAACTCACACGATCTGAAACTTTCAACTGATTCACCTCTTGTTTCTTCACTCTTTACCAGAATCTCATGTTCAGCAGCATCGAAAGAGCTACAATAGTCATCTCTAATATCCATAGGCTCCTTCTGCAATTGATTACCCTCTTCACCTAAGTTTCTCACCACCTCCTCTAACTCTCTCCCAAATCCTTGAGACTTAACAACACTACTCAAACTCATAACCTTACATTCTTCACTTGTTTGATGTTCAAAGCCAGTTGTGACCATTTCCTTCAACTCCTCTATTGACTCATCAGCCACACAAGGCTTCTCTTCTGTTTCTTCCTCAAAATCACCAACCTCAGAAGCAGTTGGTGATTTCTGATCACAACCACTAGATGATAATGATGATCCATTAGATTCAGGAAAATTCAAACGGGCACAAGGGCCATACATGGCCTTAGCAGCCTCATCATAAGCAAGAGCAGCTTCATGTGCAGTGGAAAAAGTACCAAGCCAAAGCCTATTTGCCTTCTCACCCACAAGCTTCCCATTGATAGGTTCCCTAATCTCAGCAACCCATTTGCCCCAAATCCTCTGCCTCACACCTCTGAACTTGCAATCCGAGTTCTGAGGCCCTCCCTTCCCTCTCATGCACCCTTTTCTTGACCCTTTTGCAGGCACTTTGTGAATCACTTCCACCCCATTTTCTCTACACCCTAGTTGCTGCTTCCTGTTGTACTCCTTCCACTTTTCAAGAGTGTCCTCCACAGAATCACTCACTCCACTGCGTCTCTTCCGTGATTTCCTCTCCCTGCAAGCCAAAAATCAAAACTTTTCTCAACTTTCTACTTCCTTCAATACCCAACTTTTTTCAAAGAGTCACTTCTCTGAAAACACTTATAGGATTAAAAAAATAAAAAGTTTCATAAATTAAAACTAACTAATACAAGTTAGAAATAAAATTTTGATTAGAACATATATAAGCTTAGTTTAGTTTAAGAAGAAGCTCATTTTATTATTCCAAAAAACGTTTAGGGATAAGTTTACTTGTATTAGATACAAAATTATTTGTGGGGACATGTATTAGACATTTTCATTAGTTATGACTAAATTAAGTAGACATAAATAGAAACCTTCTTATTACAAGTCGAATTTTAGGGTCGAATTAAGCGCGTTCTTACCAACAAGATATTGATTACAAGAAGTAGCACAAGAAGAAGAATAAAAACCCGATAGAGTTTGAATGAAATGAAAGAGTAGAAAATAGAATGAACTGAGAAGAAAGCAACTGACCCAGAAACGTTATTATTAGTCTTCATGCGCATATGCTATTGAAGAAGCATGCAGTTTGGTTTGATTTGGTTCCTATGTTGTTGCCTGAGATGACTAGTTGCAATTTGTGTTGGGAAGGTTTAAGAGGGGTTTTGGATTTATTTATTTATTTTATAATTTATATTTTACATTTTGCGGCTGTTAGTTTGGGATTCGTATGTTGTAGTCACTACCAACGTCATGCTTGACTTGTTGTCTAAGAAAAAGTTGAAGTGTTCAATTCACATTGTAAGAGGGAAATGTGAATGTGAATGTGAATGGGGGGTTTCAGATACGGTTGGTGACGTGGCACCATTTCGGATGCTAATGGCATGGCTGATGAACAGCTAGGGGTGCGACACGTGGCGGCCTTTGTTTCATGGTGGCAACACCCAAAGAGCTTTCTTCATCACGAAGGGCTCCTTTTCTATTTGCCATTGCTTCTTGCAACACTTCATCTCAATTTTGTTGCCTTAAATATTCAAACAAAATAAAATTCAAAAAGGGAATTTTTCAAATTATGAAAATTGAAGAGTGAAAGTAATTATATTTTAATACAGTTAGGTTAGGTATAGTGTAAAAATTAAAATAAATTTAAGTCGATATTTAAACAGGAGTAATTTTTAAATTTATTTAATCTATTGATCCAACCTAATCCGATATTTTTTTTTGTTTGGATTGAATCTGGTTTATTGTTTGAATTTAATGTTCTTGGATTTCAATCCCGTCTCTTGAATTCGGGTATTGAAATTAATTAATTATGATAACTTTTATCGGAAAATGTTAATCAGTATTCCAAGGTTTGGGGAAAGCATGAGATTAATAAAGTTCTTGTTTTAGGTCTCTTTTAAAAAATTTATTTTTATATAATATTTATATAAATTTTTAAAATTTTATAATTTAATTTTTTTTATTTTAAAAGTTTACTGT